TCGAGTCCGAGTCGAGTCTGAAGTCTTTCGAGGACGGGTCTCAAGTCGAGTCTGAAGCCACTGTGTGTGGGACTTAAGTCGCACTCGAGTCCCCATCTCTGGTGTGTGTGTACGCACACACGGGGATGCATGTCTGTATGTGATGTGTGTGAAAGAGAGTGTGTGTATACAATATATACTGTACAATTATGCCAGCCTTCACGTTTTCATGTCAGCATCTGTGTGTGTGTGCACATGCATGTCTGTGTGTGCACTTATGTTTCTGTGCTTGTGCGTGTGTCTGCGTGGGAGTGAGTGCAAGTGTTGGTCAAAACAATGAATGCAAGTTATATTTTTTCCCTATTATCACCCTGTCCCCTGACCTCTCTCTTCTTTTTCTGTACTCCTCAAGTAACACTGTATTGCTGTATATTTTTTCCCTATGCTGTAGACAGCGCAATCATTTTAAAAGAGGAACAGAGAACCGCGATCAAGGCATTTGTCGATCCAATTAAGTGCAGAGGCATTTTCTTTCCTGGTTCGGTTGAAACACGCCCCAGAATCACAGCCCAATGGAGCAGTATCAGACTCACATTCTGACTAGAATCCGAGTATGACGACGTCAGGCTAAGAAATGCATTGTTTCACAGTAAAACTATTAAATATTACATTAGGTGGCCTATACTGCATTCATACTGCTTTTTGTGGAAGCACTTCATAAAAATGTTAAATTAGTGACCCCTAATGGGGGTGGGGGTGGGGGTGGGGGGGGGGGGGGGGTTGTAATAGCCATTTTGTTTATGCAATCTGTTCAAGTGTTTAAGGAAAATATCAAGTTATATTGAAATGAGCAAGAGAGTTATAGTGCACGTCCCTCCTTCTGTTTCTCATTACTGAAACATTGAGTATCTCCACCGCAAAAGGCCTTCAATTGTTGCGGTGAATGATGATGGTGTTGCGGAGGATGAGCGACCTTAAACAATCTTGCTAACTGTGGTAGTTAAATGAGGGTTAGCTAAACTTTCCCTCTCTTTTTATATTTAGACCATAATTGGGTATAGTAATCAAAAAATTAAAACGGCAATATTTTTTAAAACTTCACAAACTCATGTTTCAGTAATGAGAACTAAAAAGTGGTGTAGGTACTATGACAAACAAAATAAGGGATGGCTGCCGCGAAACAGTCGTTCCGAAGCTTTGCGAGATCCCGAAGCGCAGATGTTTCGAAACACTGATTCGAAGCGTGATTCAAAACACCCATGTCACGTGACTATGGCCAAACGAAGCCTCGAAGTGTTTCACTAAAGCTGCGTCCCAATGTGCATACTATCCATCCTAAATAGTATGTGACATTAGTAATTTTCAATACTATTTAGGGCGTAGTATGCACATTGGGACGTTTCATCAGGTGTGATCCGCCGAATCAGCGTTTGATTGACACGGTCGGGAACAACAGACCACACAATCGCACATCTGTATAAAAGTGAAATCAACGCATATTGACCTCGTGGGTTTTTGTGAGAGGAGTTTGATTTTGAGATAGCGGATTTTTGGTGATATAGTGACATTTATAGTGCGATTTGTTTAGTTATATTTAGTCCTAAATGGACACAACACATTGACTGATGGGCTAGAGACACAGAGTATACATGTATTAGTGACACATTAATAGATACATATAAATATATATAGACAGCTAGATTAATAGATAGATAGATACAGATAGATTAAAGATAGGCTACATAATATAAATACATAGATAGATTATAGATACATTTATAGATACATCTAAATACATAGATTATAAATACAGAGATTATAGATACATAGATTATAGATACATATCTAAATACATAGATTATAGACACATATTATATATACATATCTAAATACATAGATAGATTGTAGATATATATCTAATTACATAGCTAGATAGATTAGAGATACATATCTAGATAGATTTGGATAGATAAAATGGAGGCTCCCCAGAAGAGATGCCGTACATCTGTGGTGTGGGAGCATTTCCATTTAGAAACCCCAAATAAAGTGAGATGTGTGTATTGTGATCGGCAGCTCGCCTACTGCAACAATACATCATCCAGTTGAAACACAGGACAGTTTATGGGAACTTTTTGATACTTGTATCCATCAAACCCAGATGATACACAATGCTACAGCTGATGCCACAGTGGAAGTGAAAAAAACATCAACGTTTGATGGACACGGTCGGGAACAAATACGCATCGTATTTGCCCAGAACTCATGATCCACTAACTTACTGGAAAGAGAGAGCAGTAATCTTTCCTCATTTGTATGTATTAGCTAAAAAATATCTTTGCATGCCAGCAACAAGTGTCCCTTGTGAGAGGATTTTTTCAAAGGCTGGAGAAATTATCTGTAAAAAAAGAAGTAGGCGAAGTCCTTCCACAGCAGAGAAATTAATATTTTTGAATACAAATATGTAAAAAAGTGAGACATTGTGGCTTGATTTATTTTATTAATATTCATTTTGCAGGACCAAAATAACATTATGCACAGTGAGGAGGCTATAGGTTGCAAGATTCACATATTAGAAAAGTACAATAATAAAATAAAAACATTTTTTAATGGCTCATCAAGGTTGTTTCAGATCAACACCTGCAAGTGACCACTAGGTGTCACAGTGGAGACGGGTGTCGGATTGATTCGAAGCCTCGAAACAATATGGACCATTTGTTTCAACTGTTTCATTGCTTCACGAAGCCTCGATCTGCCCATCACTAAACAAAATTTGAACTTTTATCTGGAGAGAGAAAATAAGAACTGCTTACCTGGAAGCCATCTTGAGTGTCACAGTCAATTATGTCCCTTCCAACAAAATTCCTTGAAACTGTTAGTTCCTTGAAGACTTAAACAATGATTGAAAATTGTTGCGGTGGATGAGAAAATTGGTCTTGGACACATTTATATTCCTTATTATTGTCACTACCTTTACCAATGATCACCAAATACCACGTTTCTTTACTGTAAATGTTTATAGTAGGCTATGCACTGAAGCGAATTATTTTTTATATTTTTTTAATTATAAATATTTCCATCTCAAAGAACCCAAATCCAGCCACGGACACCGCAACGGTAATGAAAAATTTCCCCTTAAATGTGGAAAAAACAACAAAATTGGTATTTATGATGTCATTTGTAGTCAAATAGTACATGAAGAGATGTTTATAACTGCATCCTTCTTATTTTGATAGCATTTACTTTCATCATTAAAATATTTCAAGACACCTCATAAGTCTAATTTCGCGAGAATCACAACGTTGCCTTTTTATTAAATATTGGAGTTTAAAGCAGTGTTGTGGACATTACATTTTTTTTCAACATGCAATGTTTGCCATGCATTTCTATGTTTATGATCATGCTTAAAATTACCGTAGGTTATTGTTGACATAAGATGTATACGTGAGAGAGATTCACACTAATTCACTTTAATAAAGATGCTTACATGCATGCTAATCTTGCCATGGGAGTGCAACTGTCAGGATTCCACCAGTTTCACTCACTCCTCCCACTCATTCAATCACTCCTCCCATCACTCGTTCATTGTCCCCTGAGTTCTGATCACCATCACCTGCACCTCATCATTCCATCACCTTTATATTCCACTCTCCTTCACACACTCATTGTTTGGTCTCATCTCTACATGACACACAGACTCACCTGACATCCATTGGACTATCTGCATAACCCTTGTCATCGTACCCCGTCTTCAACCCTTCCATGTGACTCTCCATCTGCATCTGAAACAGGGACTATAGTTTTCCTTCAGTTAAGTTCCCATCTGCTTATCAACTGTTTGAATACTCACCATATCTCCGTCTGCAATCCTGTTAATAAACATTGTTACACTTCCACCTGTCGGACTCCTGTTCCATCCGTGACAATAACATTAACTTCCTTAGATGAGAAAAAAAAAGTTCTTTCAGAACTCCCCCACAGTAAAAAGCCATGATAGCGTGTATTTATTTCAGGTTGAAACAGTAGCTAACAGCATTAAAAAGACGATTTAAAAACCGACATGGTGCTAATCAGTGTTAATTACAAGTTAACAGTTAGGTGCTATGTGATTTGATGATTTGAACATCAACAACCCACTCTGCTCCCGCCTAAAGTGGGATGCGGGCCTAATTTGCATACAGATATCTGCAACATCATTTCGCTAAAACTCTAAAGATATCTGTAATTACTTTCATACAATGGCTAGCCGTTTTAACATTTAAACAATTAAACCGACTAGTATATTTTCATGCTACTAGTACATATTTTTTAGATACTATCTATTCCATTAAGTAGTAGGCCTACTAGTACTTATTCATTAGCGACTAGTGCTTATTCTTTAGGTACTAGTGCCTATTCTTTAGATGCTTATTCTTTAGGTTCTAGTAGGCCTACCTTTTTAAAGGTACTACTACTTATTAATTATAATTAATTTAGAGTGCCTATTAAATTGGTACTAGTATCATAAGGTACTAATACATTAGTTAGTACTTATTTCGATAGTGACTAGTAACTAGGCTATTCTTTTGTTACTAGTAACAAATTTAACTTTAAATTTAAACTTTGTGGATATCTGAAATGACAATTATGGATAGGAAGAATGTAGTTATGCCACGGATATCTGAAATGTTCTTTTTGACTAGGCAAAACTGAATTACAGATATCTGCAACACATATCCAGTCTAGCTGTAAATGTTAAAATGGCTTGTCATAAATACTCACCTTCAAGGAAGTTAACACTTGTCAATGGAGAGTGGCCAGGCCCAGACTCTGTACAAATGAAATGTATGAGAGTCTGGTAGGACCAGGCGAGCTAAGTACCACCCACTAATACCCGTCTATGACTAATACCAACATCAGTCTTTTAACAAATCAGGGACCTCATGTAAACTAATTAATATTCATGAGCCAAACAGTCACAGTATTCCCTACACACACACACACACACACACACACACACACACACACACACACACTAACCATTCAAAGAAAACGCCATTGGACTATTACTTTTACAAATACATATCTTCAAAAAATAAAATGGAGCTTGAAACTCGGAAACAACACTGTAAGTTATTTCTGAATACTTCTTGGCATTTTTTTTTCATGGACATCTGCTAATATAAAAATAGGCTAATATAATTAATGTAGGCATCTACATTATCTGCATGCCTTAATGAATTTGGTCACTGATCAGCAAAAAAAAATTAAAAACAAAAGATCCCCCATAGACACTATTAGGATTGTTGTGTTATCAGTGAACCTGTGGTGATTTGCAAAACAAGTCTACAAGAAGCATTTTTTTATGCACATTGTTCAATGAATTGTTACCACTTTTATTTTTTTGTAAAAAAAAAAAGCTGAAGTCCTCGAGAAGTAATCACCGGCCTCTGCTCGCCACACTTGTATTTCAGGTTTGGTGCTTGGATTTTATTTTTTAGCTTGTAACGTTAGTTACTACAAAAGCTTTTGAATGCGATTGAATGGACTTAATGTTCACCTGAGATAAACCACGTTTAGATTGTATAGGCCTATATTGTGCAAGTTTATTTGACCACGTTTATCGCATCAGAAGACTACATATTGGTCTGGTAATGGATAACAGTTAGGAATATATTGACCACATATCGATATCGGCCGATAAATGGTCATTTTTGATGTTATCGTTATCGATCTGATTAGAAAATTAGGCCGCATATCAAAGCCGATAGATAATAGATTATTTAGCCTATACTTCATGCGCGCTGTTCGCCATGATGGTTTTGAATATTGGAATCACTTCGAAAAGGAAGATAGTTTAGTGCAGCACACATCTGTCACATTCATAACATTATAATAAGAGCACGCCTGAAAAAGCATGTTTTGAATTCGTGTTCGCCAGTGTTTTAGCGCGTTGTGGCGGAAAGAGTGCGTCTATGGAGTCAAGGCTTCATGACAGGCAAAGACAAGTTCTCTTGATCATTCGCAGCATTCTGTTCCATTGTAATATGTTTTATTATTATTATTTTATTTTATTTCAGACACGTAAATAATGGTCCATATTACAGACAAAAAGAGACACACAATAAGCAATAGGCTGCATTTATCACCTGTACACGTGCGCGTAATTTGCACGGGGGTTACGGGGGTCATAACCCCCTCAAAAATCAGATCCAGCTAATATAACCCCCCCAATATCATCACATAATTCAGATTAAAATAAATATGAAATATTCCGAATGAACACTTTTGTTCGTTGTCTTTATTAAATTCATTTGTCAGCAATAAAGATATCATTATTTTAAATAATCTGTAATGTACCCCCCGCCCACCGCACCGACTACTTGGTATTACCCAACCCGCTTTCTCTACCAAGTTTGTTCACTATTTTGCGCAGTCGCTGGGATGAATGGTCGGAGAAAGCTGACGGTGCATGCTAACGGATGGAAAGATGAAAAGGACACAGCCAGACAACGATTTTTCATTGTTGGTCGACACCAGCCAAAAAGAGGAAAAATCCTGACCAAACGGAGGTTAGCTGTTAAGTTAGCTCAGCGTTTCTCAAAGTGTGTGGAGACAAACAGGTTTTTAATTCCTTTATTTATTGACCATACACTCAAAACAAAACAAAGACACATTTAAATGTAAGCCTTACTTAACGTTTTCACACATAAGTTTAAAAGTTTTTCAAGGCGATCGTTATTGATCGTACTCGTAGTATCCCATGGAGACGCGCCCTTCATTGCTTGTCACACCGCAGCCACAATAGCTGAATGACTGATGATCTGCTTTTATTTCCTTTTTTATTCAAAATTTCACAAATTTGTTAGCTATAGCAGGATATATCTGATATTCCGATTGTCAAATATGTGCAAAGTTTTTAATGCTGTTATTTGATGTTAAGTTTTTAAAATGTGATGTTAATAAAATACATTTTAACAGTTAAACTTAAAGCCTAGTTTATTAACATTTTGTTGGGGTGATTGGGCATGTAGTATGTTACCTTTTACACAAGACAATTATTCAATAAATTAATAAATATGCCGCGAGTTTAACCCCCCCAATGGTAGATCCAAAGTTACGCCCTTGCATACAGGCTCATAAGCCAGTGAGACCAGAGAAGAGTATCGATTCGCACCGAGCTTAGTCCAGGGTTGGTCAATGCAGTGATGATACTGTTCACCGAGCTCGAAAGCCTGCACATGAGATTTCGCAGTAGGCTACAGCAGGGCAGTTTGGCAAACCCACATTTACAAACATTTGGCTCGCACTACTTCATCGTGGGGCCCAGTAGCATCCGCAAGGCATCATTATATGCTACAGTTAGCTTTTTGTATGCATGTATGTTTATTTTGTGTATCTGATTAATCTAATATAGGATGCGTTTGGTTGAGTTAATGAACGATGCAGTAAAGCGCTTCGATTGTAGGCTATAGGTGATCATCTTTAGCTTGTGCAGCTCAAACAGCAATGCACATTAATATAATTGAGACTGTCATATACATGCCATTATAATGAGAATATCTACTATTGTAATAAAACGTTGTGAATTCTCTGGGTTTAGTTGCTGTGTTTCAGCGCGTTGTTGTGGGAATAGCACGTCCAGAACAGGGGTTACACGTTCTAGCGCAGTCAAGTTCGCTTAGGCCTAAAAGTGCATTCACGTAATTTTGTGCAGATATATGATAAGTCGTAATATGAAGTTTATGTAATATAAATATCTGATTAATCTCACATATGATGCGTTTCGCTGATTTAAACAACATGCTAGAAAAGTTTTTCAGTTTCCCGGTGTTAGTTCTCTTCAGCGTCAGCGCGCGCCGTCAAACAGAAATGCAAAACATTAACAGCTATGATTGGGACTGCCATATCATTATAATTGTATACACTATTGTAATAAAAAGTTGTAAATTCTTTGGGTTCAGTTGCATTCTTCAGCAACCGTTGAGTTGGTTAACCTTCTAGCAAAGCGATTCAGTTTAAAGTTTGTTCTCTTCAGCTTCAGCGCGGTCGCCCAGCTCAAACAGCAATGATGCCATTTTAAACAGTAAGCCTAATATTAAAGATGTTTACTATTACTGTAATATCAAACGTGTTTTTTTTTTTCAAAAACATTGATGCATTATTAATAACTCGTATTATTTTCATCAACAATGGTTTGATCAAAACAATTTCTTTATTGTTTTTCGATTCATTTTATTTACCTATGGCACATGAATTTTGTTTCTTTATATGCAGCCCAATGTTATCCAATGACTTGTTTGCATTATGTATTTTATTTAAATTTTTTGTTTGGCAATAGATTTTTTTGGTAACACTTTACAATAAGGTATCATTTGTTAATGCATAATATGAACTAACAGAGAGCAATAGCCTTTGTTAATGTTAGTTAATGAAATATAATTGTGTTCATGTTAGTTCGCAGTGCATTAACTAAGGTTAACAGATATGGATCTTAAACATTTCTTATAAAATGAGCTTAACATTAACTAAGATTAATAAATGCTGTAGAAGTGTTCATTAATTGTGGGTACATGCTAGCTAATACTAACAAAATTAAACCTTATAATAAAGTGTTGCCATTTTTTAATAAAGAAAGTTGCCCATAGGAGTGTAAAATTAATTTGAAAAGTTAAGGAATCTAACACTGGTTCAATAGGCTATACTGGATTGTGTATGTTTGATTTATGTTGAAGTGTTTGGGACGTTGCCTTTTAATGGTGAGCATTTTGTTTATGTATTCAGGCTATCAAAGTATATAAAAATGTGCATTTACCGGTAGATTTATCGGCCAATATATCGGTTATCGGCTTTCAAATGTAAAGAGTTATCGGTATTGGCCAAAATGTTAATATCGGTGCATCCCTAATAATAGTCCTTTAATGTTTTTAGCATAACTACAGTGATTTATATACAGAACCCGTAAAGATCAGTGCAAATTTTCACCAAATGCTACTAAAGAAATTGCTAATCATTAACGGAAGTGTATGTAAATTGTATGGAGGATGTACTGTAAATCTACAGAATTTTCCGTTTTTTAATTGAAGGAAAAGTCCGTAATTAGAACGCCAGAAGGCCTACATTATCCGGGGGTTTTTCAGTGTAGTAACCATAAACAAAAATGTTTTATATGCCTGCACTGTGTGATGACATAATGCTTTTACAGTTCACAGGGAAAGATCACATCTATGGAAGTTTTTTATGGGGTTGTGTCTACTGGTGATCATGAGTTGTCTGGTAAGTTCATTTATCACAACTGCATCTTTAAAATGGCAGTATTAATTCTTCAAATTAAAAATCAATAATGCTTAATCAAACTAAATAGTTATAGGCTACAAAATATTAGGTACCATGCGGATAATGTAAAATTGTGTGAATAATGTTGACAACATTATTCTTCATGATATGCTTAAATAGGCTAGCATCTATTAAGTCGTCTATGCAGACTGACAGGTGGTTTATCGTTATTGTAGGCTATACATAATTCTGAACTTCTCAATGGCTATACAATTTTTCCAGGCGCATTGTTTAATAATAGCTAATAATAATGACTTAGACTTATATAGTGCTTTTCATGGCTATATGGAGAAAGAGTTACTGATCGACTTCGTGGACTTCATTTGGTGACTTCCTTCTTGTTACAACTTACACGGCACATCGCGGGATCGTGAGACTATGGGACTGCGCTGTATTTTTTTGACTGCCCACTAAAAAGATAAAACCACCCGCTCCCGCGAGAGTTGCATTGGGTCCCGCTGGAGCCCAATCCCAATGCAGATCTCTACTGTAGGCCTACAGACTAGCTATACTAAATAAAAAAAATAAAAAACTACATTTTCATAATCATCATTTTTGATTTTGCAGCAATTGGTTTTGCAGCAAGACAAGCATACAAAAAAAGACAAATTACAATTCATAAAAAAATAACAAAAAAACTTCAAGGGAACAACAGGCCCAAACAACTACCTACTTCCCACGCTATGCCTATGACCGATTTAACAGACTTCACTTGACTTGAAGACAAAGACTTGTGAAAAGTCATTTTGGTGTGCCGTTTACCTTCTCTCTTTATTACCCCCACATGACAGCACGAAACACAACATTTTACTATTAATTCTTAATTCATTTATTCCCTATCAATACTGCATGTGCTGCAGCAAACACACCAAGCCAGCGTTATTATATAGGCCTACGCATGTGACTCATCTGAAGGCATGCATATTCACCACCCATTGGAAAAGTCCTGTTATATAAATGTACAACAAGGGAGTTCCCTTTTGCAAGCTTTTTCAGATATCTTTATAATTGCTCCCAGTCACAAAAGCCCGCCCGGTGGCCACTTCCAACATGAGAGCATATTATGTGGAAGCATTTCTAGTTCTGAGGGATTAGACGTGAAGAGAGTTGAGGTGAATGTTATAATAAACAGGCCTCCTCCCCTGCCCTGTATGAGCCTTCATTTCTCCATATTCACAATGAAGTGTCGAAATCGTGGAGGTGTATTTATCGGCTTGCATAGTGTTTACCACACAGTAAAAGGATTTGAGTGGGGAGGGGCTGTGTAACACATGAGAATGCCTTGGGTTGAGAGTTTCTTGTGATCTCTCCCCAGGCTGCATTCTCTTTCGTGGTGAGGCCCCCTCAAGCACGGGACCCGGTCGCACCGGTTATACTGCCCTAATGATGGACATGGGTGTGAAACATTTTTCTAGTGAGATAAATATTTATGTCAAGTCATCCTCATTTATATAGCGCTTTTAACAATGTAAATTGTTTCAAAGCAGCTTTACAGAGATAAACATATCATTTAAGGTAAAAGAGATTGGTTTGGTTTTATAGCGGTTCTTGAATAATGTTATTTTCCCGCTAAAATTTGTTTTGATTGATTCACTTCCGTCAAATGATCATTTGTTATTAAATTAGGGACCGCTAAGATGACACCGTTCTCTCTAAACAGACTTTAAACGCAAACCTGTGATAAATGCTGATGGCGTTCACATGCGCATTAAGAATTGATTCTATAGTTATGTGCGTTTTTGAATATATGTGCGCAGGTTTGTAATTCCCTACAAACCATGCCTAAACAAACTATTTGTCTTGCCTATAAATTTTGATACAGAATTTTATTTTATCACTTCTGGGTTGGTACGCGAACCGAAATTTCCACAACGCTTTATCTGTAGAGTGGAATAGGGATCCTCCATAGGGAGAGGCTAGTTGGCACTTCAGCACTGCGTTGTCATCGGGTCCAGGCGAAGGTCCTTTGTCAGATCTGGAAACGGCCTGGATCCGGCAGGCTGCTGGAAAACCTCAGGATAAACAAAGACACTAAAATTACCGTAGATGCCATTCTTCTTATGATGTAACGAGTACATCAGGATTTAAGGGAAGTGTTCCCAGTTCCAATGTAATAGGTATTTTCAACATTAAATGTACAGAGAAATGCAGACTAAGGATGCTCAGGTCAAAGACCAATACTTACCCAAAAAGTGTTAACACAGTAGAACTAACATTCGATTAGCTTAGATCATTACAAACCAATCACCAGAACAAATCACAGTGAAGAAGACTTGAGTGACTTTGATTAGGCTATTACTCAACTGTATGATTTACATGTACATGCATCTTTCTATTTAGGAGACTTAACAAACTTAAACACCTGTACGAATGCGAAATTGCAGGAATGTCTTGTTTTTGATCCGCTGCGTACAACTGCCAAGTTATTACCATAACCTCCGTTGTACAGGGTAATGTAATATACACTCACCGGCCACTTTATTAGGTACACCTGTCCAACTGCTCGTTAACACTTAATTTCTAAGCAGCCAATCACATGGCGGCAACTCAGTGCATTTAGGCATGTAGACATGGTCAAGACAATCTCCTGCAGTTCAAACCGAGCATCAGTATGGGGAAGAAAGGTGATTTGAGTGACTTTGAACGTGGCATGATTGTTGGTGCCAGAAGGGCTGGTCTGAGTATTTCAGAAACTGCTAATCTACTGGGATTTTCACGCACAACCATCTCTAGGGTTTACAGAGAATGGTCCGAAAAAGAAAAAACATCCAGTGAGCGGCAGTTCTGTGGGCGGAAATGCCTTGTTGATGCCAGAGGTCAGAGGAGAATGGCCAGACTGGTTCGAGCTGATAGAAGGGCAACAGTGACTGAAATAACCACTCGTTACAACCGAGGTATGCAGCAAAGCATTTGTGAAGCCACAACACGCACAACCTTGAGGCGAATGGGCTACAACAGCAGAAGACTCCACCGGGTACCACTCATCTCCACTACAAATAGGAAAAAGAGGCTACAATTTGCAAGAGCTCACCAAAATTGAACAGTTGAAGACTGGAAAAATGTTGCCTGGTCTGATGAGTCTCGATTTCTGTTGAGACATTCAGATGTTAGAGTCAGAATTTGGCGTAAACAGAATGAGAACATGGAACCATCATGCCTTGTTACCACTGTGCAGGCTGGTGGTGGTGTTGTAATGGTGTGGGGGATGTTTTCCTGGCACACTTTAGGCCCCTTAGTGCCAATTGGGCATCGTTTAAATGCCACGGCCTACCTGAGCATTGTTTCTGACCATGTCCATCCCTTTATGGCCACAATGTACCCATCCTCTGATGGCTACTTCCACCATGTCACAAAGCTCTAATCATTTCAAATTGGTTTCTTGAACATGACAATGAGTTCACTGTACTAAAATGGCCTCCACAGTCACCAGATCTCAACCCAATAGAGCATCTTTGGGATGTGGTGGAACGGGAGATTCGCATCATGGATGTGCAGCCGACAAATCTGCGGCAACTGTGTGATGCCATCATGTCAATATGGACCAAACTCCCTGAGGAATGCTTCCAGCACCTTGTTGAATCTATGCCACGAAGAATTGAGGCAGTTCTGAAGGCAAAAGGGGGTCCAACCCGTTACTAGCATGGGGTACCTAATAAAGTGGCCGGTGAGTGTATATCACTGGCGTCTTACAAATAACAGGCATATTCTACGAAAACACTGTATTATGTATAACTATTCCATCTCTGTTTTTAGAGAATAGTTTTAATTCTATATTACGAGGAAGATTTGCTGACCTGTAGGCTATGCTTGTTTACAGGAGATTTTTTTATTTTGTAAATCTATATTTATTATTCAGTTTGCTTACTCAAGTGTAAGCTTTAAAACAAATAAAACCACTTGTTTTTTTGCCGGAAAAGCATGTGACTTCTTTTTCCCACAGTGCTATCAGGAATCGATAAGAGAATCGTTAAAGAATCGGATCGATAAGCAGAATCGTCAGTGGTATTGATATTGATAAAATCTTATAAATTCCCATCCCTAACCTTTATAGACAAAATAATAGTGTTTCTACTCTTTTTTTTTTTTTTTTTAACTTGCCTCCCTAGGATTGTAGCTTTTAGATGTAAAACACTAGTTAGAGCTCAGATCATGCTTCTAGTAACTAGCCTAATACTAATTGTAATTCTACTACTACTAATAATAATCATCATCAGTCCCACTTTACATAGGTGTCTTTAAACACCAAATACACATGTTAAAAAATTATAACAAAACAACAACATTACCATGTTAGTTACAATGGTACTTATTGTGTTAATGTACTACAAAACACTTTTGCTGCCACTGAGGTGTGATACAGGTAAGGCTGGGGCAGGTTTAATGGTGTAGGTAGGTTTAAGTGTTAGGGTTAACAGTGTTGCGTGGCCACTTTTGTTAAATTGCCTCCCATTAAAGCTGCAGTCCGTATCTTTTCCTCTTTGTCGCCATCTCTCTGTTCGAAATCTGTAACTGCAGTGATTCGCGGAATTATCATCTTTACGTGGGTTGTAAATCGGCATGAAACAGCGCGGATGAACACAGTGCTTTGAGGCGAGTGCTGCTGTCAGTCATCGCGCTGTGTGAATACTGTCATACAGAATCACAGATTCACTTTTTGAAAGTTTGACCAACATAAGAATTTTCATAAGAAAATGTCTTCTGAACAAGTAAAATCCATTTTTGTTCTGACCAACTAAGGGGGAAAAAGCATTCGACATGATAAGCTTCGTTAGATTTAATCAACGCGATTTACAGCAACCGTGCAAATTATAGCCTACTTTGTTCTCAAATTGTTCATGTTAACAACATCAGCATTGCGTGACTAATGTTAAATTTAATGTGTTTTATGGTTAGCAGCTACCTGCGTAGTTCAGAATTCATATTCTCCATAATAGCAAAACGAGAAAGGCACAACAAAGGAAACTCCATAACTGTGTGAATTAAGAAAACGTACTGTTACACGATTGAACTATTGAAATGTCTTACTTGTTCAGCAGAAAAAGGCCGTCTCTTCTTCCGTTTCGAACCCCTTCAAAACACGGAGTTCACGCACTTTTCAAAAGCCCCGCCGATGTTTAAATCCTTGTGTTCGCATGAGACGGTTTCTTTCTCTTTCTCTAGCCACCTTAAATCCGAAGTACGAAGTCTTTTGTGTTTTATAACTGCTGAATCTCCAGTTGACACTGATGATTGTTGTTTGGATCTTTCTGGATGCCATAAGTTTAATTATGTAAAGTGCTGCGAGAAAAGCCTATACATCTAAACATCTCGTCAGCGCTGTATAGCCGGCTAGCCGAAACTCCTTCTTTATGTGTACGGGTGTGACGTCATGACGCAAAGACATGCTCGAATTTCCCGCGGAAACCCACCAGTACCACTGGAATTAAAATCATTATTACAAGCTAACCGTTTTGAATGTAGCTATGGCAAGCAGAAAGTTTTGACCACTGGCAGAATAAGTTTTTTTTTTTATATAATTATTTTGGATTATTTTTAACTTAAAAAAGTTACGGACTGGAGCTTAAAGGAAGGGAGGGGCATGTTGTCCTTTATATGTTCTGACTAGCGACACAGCAGCGAAAGGTTTGTTTATGTCGTAATGGAAATTTTACCCATAATTCACACAAAGTGTCATGGGGCGTATAGGAAAAAGGTGGATAAGTTTAAAGGAATGTAAGTTGCTTTGGATAACAGTATCAACCAAATACATAAATGTAAGAAAATGTTACAGTACATAAGTTTTTAACCTATTAAGTAATTAGTTATTAATAATAAGAAGAGGTGTCCACATACTAGATGTAATAAACTTATGATTGGTGTGCTTGGTCTTGGTGGGCATCACTGTCTTTAGGTTTTCTTATAATCTGGGAATTATATCTATCATAGTTTTAGTTGGGTTCATTCAAGTGTCCCAAACAATTTCATTCTCTGTTAAAACAACAGGAGTCAATATGAGAATGTCATATCTTAAGGCTGGAATACACTATGACTTTTGCTCAGATTTTTGCCCCGGTCTGCGATCCGGGTAATGCTGGGTACACACCAAAAGATAATCGGGCTGATTTTGGGTACTTTCAAAGCTATGGAACCTTATAAAAAGGGTTCTATTTCTTCTGCTATTGTTACAAGCCAAAGCACCATAATTTTGTTCTGTTTAGAACCATTTTTCTAGGACTGCCGTCTGTCAATCAATTTCCGTGTTCCACACATACTTCAGACACAGGTCGCATCTGATGGTGTTCTCATAGTGTTAACGTTATGATGCATTGTCTCATTCCCTTCTCAGGGAACCGGGATATATACATAGATGTTATGTAGATGTCAAAAAACGTAGATGTTTTTTGTTTAATAATCGACAAGCATTAATCCGACAAATACACAACTTTTGATTAATAACAATATTTTGTATTTGTAGGTTGTATGGTCTTATACAGGTAATGAAAGGAAGAAGCACCCTCCACCCAGCTTTTTGTCTCTGCACTTTCCAGGAATATATACAAACTCCACTTCTCCTTCAGTACTCAGTTCAGAAGAGTCAAGCTCATTTTACCTTGAAAAAGGAATCAATTTAGAAGACTACTCCAGGTTACAGCAGGATGTTTACTGGGCCGGGCCTGACAGAGCAATCACAAATGTGTCCATGAGTACTAGTCCAGGCCACACCAAATTCATCATTCAGAACCTGAAAGAGAGCTATCAAATTGGTGAGGAGCTTTATGTTACGGTGCACGCAAAGGATTTTGACAACAAATCCAAGCTTTATGGAGGTGACTTTTTTCAAGCCAAGCTATTCTGGTCTAAAACTAAGGTCAGTTATTGTACACATTAGATTAACTAAAACTACTTGCCTGATTTATTGATCTCCCTGGGTCAGAGAGAGTTGTACTGAGAATGTACTTCTGTCACAGGCCAGTGTTTTTGGGGAGGTGGTGGACCTGCTCAATGGCTCCTACTCTGTACGTTTCCTCTTGCCGTGGGTCGGCGAGGCACAGGTGGCTGTGCGTCTAATTCACTCCAGTGAAGCTGTGCAGGTCCTGAAGCATCACAGAGATACTGACTCTGACAGAGTGTTCTTTAAAGGATATTATGAGGGACCAGGACCAAATAAGACCAGGCTGAGTGAAACAGTGATGTGTAATGTAAAGTGGGACAACAATGGACTAGAGCGTATGGGAACAGAAGACTGCTGCTGTGAATACAACGATCACCGTACCGGAGAAACTTGGCGCTGTCAGAGACCCAAATCGCTGCCATGCAGTTCCCTTGTGTATCACTCTATGGGTGGTTATAGAAACCGCCTGACTAATAAGGAGAAAATGCTTATGTGAGATTAAAGTACTCTTGATTGACTGTTTGATTGATATATTTGATGCATTGATGGAAGGCAGTTTGACAAACATGTTCTCTTTGGCAGGAAGCAAACTAACAAAGGTATCAATGGAGATAAAAGGATCATCAAAATTTTTCATTCCGAGGGAAATGAAACTATTGGTATGTTGGTCAATGGTTTAACCCAGCAGAATAATACAGTACAAGGAGGCAGATATGCTGGGAAATGTGTTGCACATAATTAATTTTCTGACATTTAGACAATGCAAATCATATAAAATCTCCAGTTCAGGCAAATTTTTGAAAACGTATACCTTTGACACAGAACTTACATTTACTCGTCCTGCAGATGTTACAGAGAAATGTCACCCTGGTTTACACACTCCAGTTCCAGCTGGCTTTTACTTGAATGATGTGTGGACGTCATTCGTCTGTAGCACCCGCCATTTTACAACCCAAACGACAACAGAGTGCCTGAAAGACAAACACATTTACATGATGGGAGACTCTACTATGAGACAGTGGTTTGAGTTCTTTGTGAAAGCAATACCAAGTGAGATAAATAATTGCTTATTTGTTAATTATAATTATTTATACAGTGCATAGATGCATTAATTGTGGGTCTGTTTTTCAGCCCTGAAGCAGATGAACCTGCATGTCCAAAATCAGTCAGGGCCGCTCATTGCAGTGGATGTGGATAACAACATTGACTTACACTGGAGGGCTCACGGCGTTCCTGTGCGCACTCGGAAAACAGCATTCGCTGATCTGCACTACATCAGTAATGAGATCGATGACCTGGCTGGAGGATCCCACACAGTCATTATGTTCAATCTGGGACCCCATTTCACCACGTACCCTCTGGATTTCTTCACCCATAGAGTGTTGAGGATTCGCAAAGCTGTTCTAGCATTGTTACAGCGGGCACCTGATACAACTGTTATAATCAAGACTGTCAACACTGGCTATAAGGTAACGTTATAGGCCTTCATCACACTTCAAAAGCAGACGCTTCAAATAGTAGCGTAAAATAACTTCCTCTGTAGCCTGTATCAATGGCAGGACATGTGACACAGGATTGTTGTGATTTATGGATGTATAGTTAATCACAGATATTTCATCTAAACACATCAACTTCAGTTTACAATCATTAATTGGGTTTGATGAAAAAGAAAAATGGTCTCATGTAATTTCGGCACATATTTCATGATTTAAAGGGGAGCGCACAAGACACTGAATGTCTAAGGCTGCGCTTACACTTGGCCTTAACACGCGATCACCGTGATCCAATTAAGCAGATCGGATCATTAGCCAATCAGGACATGGCGCGTTTACATTTGTTCACATTAAGTTGCCTCTGTATCTGGATAACCGATCGGATTTCTGTTTCCTGCATGATATTTAAATTAGGTCTGTGGCACGACACCGGATTAAGAGTAAAGATGATACCAATTAATTAAACAATGTAGCCTACCGATTGCTTAAATTTTGTTATCTTAAACGAGTCATATTCTCCAGGTTTGGATGCAATGATGGGATAGCATTGTAGTGTATTTCGATTATTCCTCCAGCAATAACTTATATATCTATATCTCTTATATATTTTATCTCTAATGGAAGATTTCACACATGGTATCGTGTAAGGCTAAATAAACCATTTAAAATATTGGCGTTAATTGTCAAATTGCTATTTAATTTTCTTGACAAAATTAGCAACTGTCCATTGACAATAATGCAGGTGGAAAATCAATTGCGCTACTAATCAGAAATGGATGTGGCAATACGCGGACTGTGATAAAGGTTTATAGAGTACCAAGTGTTCAAATAATTAAGGCACTCTGTGATGACAAGTTTATGGATGATTTTGTGTTTCTCTGTCTTTACAATAGGATATTTTTGGCAGTGACTGGTATTCTCTACAGCTGGACAGAATTCTACACTGGGCTTTTCAGGATGTTGGCGTTTATATTATAGATGTTTGGCAAATGACCGCATGTCACTACAGCAAAGAGAACATTCATCCTGGCCCTATCATCATTAAAAATGAGATTGACATTTTACTCTCTTTTATTTGCCCTTACTGAATTTAAATTAAATTAAATTATTATTATTATTTTTTCAATAACTGTTATTACAAGAGAAAAGCTGTCTAAAAAACACTGAGAAATCCTGTTTGACTTCCCTGAGTTGTAATTAAATTGTCCAATTATAAACCACTGCTTGAATTCTCCACTACAATCATTTTTTAAAAGAATGGTTTAGTACATGTCAGAGACTTCATTTTTTGTTTTATCATCCTCAAATTGGAAAAGCAACTTCTTTGACTTACTAAATAAACCTGCTGTCTGTGTCATTAATGTTTATCAATCAACTTTAATAATAGCTTTAATAATAATCAGTTTATTTGTAATTAATAAACTGAAGACTATGCAGTGATTATTTTTGTTTATTCAATTTCTGTATTAATTCTTACTTGAATACTTCTGTTAAATAGATGTAAAAATTAAATAAAGTAAAGCACTGTTAATTTAGTTTGTTTCTTTCTAATATTGGATTTGTTACTGTTTGTTATTTGCAACATTGTTCTTATTTTTAATAACAGATAAAATAACAAATAACTAATTTGATTATTAATAAGAATTATTATTAATAAAAGAATAGGAGGAAAAGATGAAGAAAACAATTGTTTTATAATCAAATTGTTACCCTTTGAATCGTAATTCAACCATTTAAACCCTTCAAAATGAGTAAATAGCACACACAACAATTAATTAAAATTTAAACAAAAATATTGGTTTCATTGGACAAAACTCTATGATAATGAATACTACTGAATGGAATTGTTTTGATTTAAAACAAAAATAAGTTGGTATTATTAATTATTTTTAATGAGTGGATTAATTAAAATAATTTAATTACCGTATTTTCCGCACTATACGGCGCAACGGATTATAAGGCGCACCTTCAATGAATGACCTATTTTAGAACATTTTTCATATATAGGGCGCACCGGATTATAAGGCGCATAAGATACTGCAGTCAAACGTTTGACTGGGTTTGCGTTATGCATCCACTAGATGTCAACAAATGTCAACAAAACAGTCAGATAAAGTCAAACCTTATTAAGCGTTCTGACAACTCCGTTCACTCCCATGGTAACGTTGTTCAAACGTTAAAAAGGAAAACTCCGGTCAATTTTAACATTGAGCTCATTTTTTGTAAATTTGAAGTGTTATCAGTGAACCTGTGGTGATTTGCAAAACAAGTCTACAAGAAGCATTTTTTTATGCACATTGTTCAATGAATTGTTACCACTTTTATTTTTTTGTAAAAAAAAAAAGCTGAAGTCCTCGAGAAGTAATCACCGGCCTCTGCTCGCCACACTTGTATTTCAGGTTTGGTGCTTGGATTTTATTTTTTAGCTTGTAACGTTAGTTACTACAAAAGCTTTTGAATGCGATTGAATGGACTTAATGTTCACCTGAGATAAACCACGTTTAGATTGTATAGGCCTATATTGTGCAAGTTTATTTGACCACGTTTATCGCATCAGAAGACTACATATTGGTCTGGTAATGGATAACAGTTAGGAATATATTGACCACATATCGATATCGGCCGATAAATGGTCATTTTTGATGTTATCGTTATCGATCTGATTAGAAAATTAGGCCGCATATCAAAGCCGATAGATAATAGATTATTTAGCCTATACTTCATGCGCGCTGTTCGCCATGATGGTTTTGAATATTGGAATCACTTCGAAAAGGAAGATAGTTTAGTGCAGCACACATCTGTCACATTCATAACATTATAATAAGAGCACGCCTGAAAAAGCATGTTTTGAATTCATGTTCGCCAGTGTTTTAGCGCGTTGTGGCGGAAAGAGTGCGTCTATGGAGTCAAGGCTTCATGACAGGCAAAGACAAGTTCTCTTGATCATTCGCAGCATTCTGTTCCATTGTAATATGTTTTATTATTATTATTTTATTTTATTTCAGACACGTAAATAATGGTCCATATTACAGACAAAAAGAGACACACAATAAGCAATAGGCTGCATTTATCACCTGTACACGTGCGCGTAATTTGCACGGGGGTTACGGGGGTCATAACCCCCTCAAAAATCAGATCCAGCTAATATAACCCCCCCAATATCATCACATAATTCAGATTAAAATAAATATGAAATATTCCGAATGAACACTTTTGTTCGTTGTCTTTATTAAATTCATTTGTCAGCAATAAAGATATCATTATTTTAAATAATCTGTAATGTACCCCCCGCCCACCGCACCGACTACTTGGTATTACCCAACCCGCTTTCTCTACCAAGTTTGTTCACTATTTTGCGCAGTCGCTGGGATGAATGGTCGGAGAAAGCTGACGGTGCATGCTAACGGATGGAAAGATGAAAAGGACACAGCCAGACAACGATTTTTCATTGTTGGTCGACACCAGCCAAAAAGAGGAAAAATCCTGACCAAACGGAGGTTAGCTGTTAAGTTAGCTCAGCGTTTCTCAAAGTGTGTGGAGACAAACAGGTTTTTAATTCCTTTATTTATTGACCATACACTCAAAACAAAACAAAGACACATTTAAATGTAAGCCTTACTTAACGTTTTCACACATAAGTTTAAAAGTTTTTCAAGGCGATCGTTATTGATCGTACTCGTAGTATCCCATGGAGACGCGCCCTTCATTGCTTGTCACACCGCAGCCACAATAGCTGAATGACTGATGATCTGCTTTTATTTCCTTTTTTATTCAAAATTTCACAAATTTGTTAGCTATAGCAGGATATATCTGATATTCCGATTGTCAAATATGTGCAAAGTTTTTAATGCTGTTATTTGATGTTAAGTTTTTAAAATGTGATGTTAATAAAATACATTTTAACAGTTAAACTTAAAGCCTAGTTTATTAACATTTTGTTGGGGTGATTGGGCATGTAGTATGTTACCTTTTACACAAGACAATTATTCAATAAATTAATAAATATGCCGCGAGTTTAACCCCCCCAATGGTAGATCCAAAGTTACGCCCTTGCATACAGGCTCATAAGCCAGTGAGACCAGAGAAGAGTATCGATTCGCACCGGGCTTAGTCCAGGGTTGGTCAATGCAGTGATGATACTGTTCACCGAGCTCGAAAGCCTGCACATGAGATTTCGCAGTAGGCTACAGCAGGGCAGTTTGGCAAACCCACATTTACAAACATTTGGCTCGCACTACTTCATCGTGGGGCCCAGTAGCATCCGCAAGGCATCATTATATGCTACAGTTAGCTTTTTGTATGCATGTATGTTTATTTTGTGTATCTGATTAATCTAATATAGGATGCGTTTGGTTGAGTTAATGAACGATGCAGTAAAGCGCTTCGATTGTAGGCTATAGGTGATCATCTTTAGCTTGTGCAGCTCAAACAGCAATGCACATTAATATAATTGAGACTGTCATATACATGCCATTATAATGAGAATATCTACTATTGTAATAAAACGTTGTGAATTCTCTGGGTTTAGTTGCTGTGTTTCAGCGCGTTGTTGTGGGAATAGCACGTCCAGAACAGGGGTTACACGTTCTAGCGCAGTCAAGTTCGCTTAGGCCTAAAAGTGCATTCACGTAATTTTGTGCAGATATATGATAAGTCGTAATATGAAGTTTATGTAATATAAATATCTGATTAATCTCACATATGATGCGTTTCGCTGATTTAAACAACATGCTAGAAAAGTTTTTCAGTTTCCCGGTGTTAGTTCTCTTCAGCGTCAGCGCGCGCCGTCAAACAGAAATGCAAAACATTAACAGCTATGATTGGGACTGCCATATCATTATAATTGTATACACTATTGTAATAAAAAGTTGTAAATTCTTTGGGTTCAGTTGCATTCTTCAGCAACCGTTGAGTTGGTTAACCTTCTAGCAAAGCGATTCAGTTTAAAGTTTGTTCTCTTCAGCTTCAGCGCGGTCGCCCAGCTCAAACAGCAATGATGCCATTTTAAACAGTAAGCCTAATATTAAAGATGTTTACTATTACTGTAATATCAAACGTGTTTTTTTTTTTTCAAAAACATTGATGCATTATTAATAACTCGTATTATTTTCATCAACAATGGTTTGATCAAAACAATTTCTTTATTGTTTTTCGATTCATTTTATTTACCTATGGCACATGAATTTTGTTTCTTTATATGCAGCCCAATGTTATCCAATGACTTGTTTGCATTATGTATTTTATTTAAATTTTTTGTTTGGCAATAGATTTTTTTGGTAACACTTTACAATAAGGTATCATTTGTTAATGCATAATATGAACTAACAGAGAGCAATAGCCTTTGTTAATGTTAGTTAATGAAATATAATTGTGTTCATGTTAGTTCGCAGTGCATTAACTAAGGTTAACAGATATGGATCTTAAACATTTCTTATAAAATGAGCTTAACATTAACTAAGATTAATAAATGCTGTAGAAGTGTTCATTAATTGTGGGTACATGCTAGCTAATACTAACAAAATTAAACCTTATAATAAAGTGTTGCCATTTTTTAATAAAGAAAGTTGCCCATAGGAGTGTAAAATTAATTTGAAAAGTTAAGGAATCTAACACTGGTTCAATAGGCTATACTGGATTGTGTATGTTTGATTTATGTTGAAGTGTTTGGGACGTTGCCTTTTAATGGTGAGCATTTTGTTTATGTATTCAGGCTATCAAAGTATATAAAAATGTGCATTTACCGGTAGATTTATCGGCCAATATATCGGTTATCGGCTTTCAAATGTAAAGAGTTATCGGTATTGGCCAAAATGTTAATATCGGTGCATCCCTAATAATAGTCCTTTAATGTTTTTAGCATAACTACAGTGATTTATATACAGAACCCGTAAAGATCAGTGCAAATTTTCACCAAATGCTACTAAAGAAATTGCTAATCATTAACGGAAGTGTATGTAAATTGTATGGAGGATGTACTGTAAATCTACAGAATTTTCCGTTTTTTAATTGAAGGAAAAGTCCGTAATTAGAACGCCAGAAGGCCTACATTATCCGGGGGTTTTTCAGTGTAGTAACCATAAACAAAAATGT